TGTGGTCCCGACCGTGACCGGCTGGAGAGTCTGCATCGATTACCGGCGCCTGAACGACGCCAACAGGAAAGATCATTTCCCCTACCTTTCATTGATCAGATGGTGGAGAGGTTGGCTGGCCATGAGTTCTATTGCTTCCTGGATGGCATGTCTGGTTACTTCCAGATTCCTATTGCACCGGAGGATCAGGCGAAGACCACATTCACTTGCCCCTTCGGCACTTTTGCTTACCGGAGGATTCCATTTGGGCTGTGTAACGCACCGGCGACCTTCCAGAGATGCATGCTGGCTCGACCGACTGGTTGGAGAGATCATGGAAGTCTTCATGGATGATTTCTCGGTATATGGAGACTCCTTCACTCACTGTCTCCATAACCTGGAACTCGTTCTGAAGAGGTGCGAGGAGACTAATCTGGCACTCAGCTGGGAGAAGTGCCATTTCATGGTTCGTGAGGGTATCGTGCTCGGGCACAAGATCTCCAAGAAGGGGATTGAGGTAGATCGCGCGAAGATTGAGACGATCAGTCAGCTACCTCCTCCCGTTTCTGTGAAGGGGATTCGCAGCTTTCTGGGTCATGCAGGCTTTTACCGGCGCTTCATCAAAGATTTCTCGAAGATTGCCCTGCCGTTGACCAAGCTGCTGGAGAAGGATGCACCATTCCAGTTCACTCCCGAGTGCACAGCTGCATTTGAGACTCTGAAGGAGAAGCTTACCCATGCCCCTATCATGGTGACTCCTGACTGGTCTCTTCCTTTTGAGCTGATGTGCGATGCGAGTGACTATGCAGTCGGAGCAGTTCTGGGTCAGAGACGCGAGAAACACTTCCAGCCCATCTACTACGCGTCGAAGACCTTGAACGATGCACAGGAGAACTACACCACCACAGAGAAGGAGCTCCTCGCTGTGGTGTATGCGTTTGACAAGTTCCGACCCTATCTGGTGCTCTCCATGTGGTGGTCTACACTGACCACTCGGCGATTCGTTACCTGATGAGCAAGGCTGATGCAAAGCCTAGGCTCATCCGCTGGATCCTGCTGCTGCAGGAGTTTGATATCGAGATCCGGGACAAGAAGGGAGCCGAGAATGTTGCTGCAGATCATCTTTCACGGTTGGAAGCCCCTCCGGTGGACAACTTCGAGGAAGAGATCGACGACTCCTTCCCGGGTGAGCGATTGCTGGCGATGACCCTGGTGGACAGCGTGGCCCCTTGGTATTCTGACTTGGCCAATTATCTGGTGGGCAAGCAGTTACCCAAGGGGATGGCTACTCATGCGAAGCGCAAGTTCTTCTCCGATCTGAAGCACTACTTCTGGGAGGATCCTTACCTCTTCAGAATCGGAGCAGATGGCGTGATCCGGCGCTGTGTCATGGAGCATGAGATGGGAGACATCCTGTCTCAATGTCACGAGGGACCACTGGAGGTCATCATGGAGGAAACCGCACGGCGCGAAAGGTGCTACAGTCGGGCTTCTATTGGCCCTCGCTCTTCAAAGATGCAGACACCTTCGCACGCCAGTGCGACCGTTGCCAAAGGTCAGGTAACATTTCTGCCCGGGATGAGATGCCCCAACATATCTCTGTTATTTCTGCTCACCAATGATGCAAGACTGGTCTGCTCATTTCTGAAGCAGCTGTTCTCCCGGTTCGGGACACCTCGAGCCATTATTAGTGATAGAGGAACCATTTTCAGGGGCAATTCACTAAACTCCTCTCTCGCTATGGTGTTAGCATCAGGTGTCGGTGGCCTACCATCCCCACTCAAATGGGCAGGCCGAGCTGACGAACCGGGAATTAAAACGGATAATTGAAAAGACGGTGGATCAGTCCCGCAAGGATTGGTCCACCAAGCTCGATGATGCTCTCTGGGCGTATAGGACTGCCTATAAAAATCCGATTGGCACTTCTCCCTATAGGCTTGTCTATGGGAAGGCGTGCCATTTGCTGGTAGAGCTAGAGCACAAGGCCTTCTGGGCCATTAAGCTGCTAAACATGGATTTGAGTGTTGCAGGTACAGAACGTAAGTTGCGGCTGCTGGAGTTGGAGGAGTGGCGTTACCATGCCTACGAGAACACCCTGTTCTACAAAGAGCGCACCAGGCGTCTCCACTACGCTAGGTTGAGGGGCCCGAAGGAGTTTCAGGTAGGTGATCGTGTTCTGCTCTTCAATGCACGCCTGAAACTCTTTCCGGGCAAGCTCCGTTCGAGGTGGTCGGGTCCCTTCACGGTTACCCAAGTTTTCCCGCATGGTGCGGTGGAGATCAGCAATGCTCAAACCGAGCCATTCAAGGTGAATGACCACCTCCTCAAGTTGTATTTGGGAGGTGCTGTTGAGCGCGCAGAGCTGCTGATCAAGCTCAAGGACCCTTAGTTCCTCTACTGGCGTCCAGCTAAAAGACGGTAAAGAAGCGCTTGTGGGGAGGCAACCCCACCACGGTTTGCATTTCTATCATTTTTCCTTTTTAATTTTTGTCGTTTTCGAGTCATTGAGTCTGTCTGGAGTCTTTCTGGAATGTTTCTCATGCCCCAGATGGTCTATTTTGGTCTATGGTGGTGTATTTTTTGAACCGGGGCACATTTGGGTTTGGATGTTCGAATTTGCAGCTTAAAAACTGGAGAAAAAGGGCCTCGGCAGTAAAATT